GGAAATGCACGGGACTATGGTGGTGGCACAGGGGTGATTTGGTGATGGGAAACCCATGGGGATTACAATTGAGATGAAAAAAAATGTGCAAAATGATGTAAAAATAAACTTTTTAATGAAAAAAAAAATACAGCAGGGAAAAAAAACATATACATAAACCAGAGCATTTAAAAACAATCTATACGCTATAAAAGTGGTGACATATGATATAAACGAGTTAACATGACATAAAACAAAATGAGAAAAACATTTTAAGATTATTTTCTTGGATACAAAACTCATGGCAGTTTTTGTACTACATAGCTACATTCACAGCATATCAAAATGCTTATTCTGTTAATAAAGGCTAAAATGTATCAGCGTTTTCTCACAGGAACCAAAATATTCACCTGATTTTTTTTTTCCTGTAAACTTCATCTTGCTTGTCATTAAAATCCTCTACTTTTTCTAACTCTTCTCCTCTTCTCTTTTCCTGGGCCTGCACCCAAGAATGGCAGACAAGAGAATCCTAGAGGCCCAAGATTCTACAGTGGCTGTTTGCAAGGGGGGAGGAGGCTACAGCAACTGCCACATTGGATACACTTAAGTGAGAAGGAAAAGGAAAAGCATCCTCAATGCCTCTCAAATGTAAAAGAGCTAACAGAATGGGATGGCCAGATGCCTGCATGGCTCAAGGAGCCAGTGGTAGCAGATTATGGACAAAAGAACTGCAACCCAAGGCAAGAAGAGGAAAAGTCTGCAGTTAGTTGTTTCTTCTTGCTCTCGTTTCTAATTCCAATGGACAGAGTCCACTTTGTGAAACAGCAAACTCCAAAAAGAAGACCCTGAGGCTAAAAGTAACATCAAGGGTTGTGCCAGAAACAATGCCTACAATGAAAAGAAAAAACGGAGAGCAGACAAGAGATGCAAGTTCAACCTGGTCCATTCCAACTTAGTCCAAAGAAGGTAGGATTCAAAGAGAAGAAACCACAAGAGCCTTGGATCACATCATTCCCTACAAGGTGCACTCAAGAATTTCACCCTACTTTTTTTTTTCACCCTACTTTTTAAACAAGTTACCCAAGGAGCTGCTTAATCCCTTCCTGTGGTCCTTAAACTCACCAGTCTGAATGTAATTGTTTAACCAAGATGCCTCTTTTCTTCCTCTCTAAGGATATTAACAGTATATGCATATAATGTTACCAAAATATTATATAGAAAACACAAATTGCTGTCAATTAACAATTGAACATCTCTAATAAATTGAGATGATTTCCCTAAGAGCCTGGAAAAAGTAAGACTCTTCCATCTATCTTGGAGGATTTCATCTCCCCAGAGTTCAGCCACTGAGGTGGTATTTTAGCTCTCTTACACTTTCTCCATCCATCTTGTTGGGAATCTGACCTCCTTATTGGCTGGTTCATACCTTTAAACTGCCTACTTTGTGACATCATTCTCCCACCAAACTACCACCACCTGGTAGAATCTTGGGGTTTCCATGGAGCTGTCAGTAAATAAATTTGGATCATCGCAAGTGACCAGTGGCCAGTGACCAGTGGCCAGTGACCTTCATACTGGTCACATGCACTGGTTGGTTTCAGCTACTCAGACATCCTCCAGTGTCTCTTCGTCATCCTTTGTATCTGCGGTTGATGTTTCTTCTTCTCTGACAATGTCAGGTAAGGAAAGAAACTTAAATGTTTTGGGTGTATATTTCTTGTCCTTAACTTTAGCATTAGAGTCAAAATAGCATGGAATAATGGGAAGTATTGAATTGGAAATCTTGAGATCTACTTTCAATTTTGACTTTTACTAGCTGATTGACTTTGAACAAGTCATTGATTCTCTCACAATATCTATTTTTCCTCCACTGTTACATTAGGATATTAGGTTGATCTTTCTGGTTCCCTTCTTTTCTAATAATAGTGAACCTTAAAGGCATCTATAAAGATGAAATTGAAGACTTTAGAGTGTTTCAACAGAAACACAGAGAAAACTTAGGTGATGTAGAAAACTACCAACACAGACCAAAATGTTTCATCTGTAAAGGTCTCCCACCAATAATATTTTAGCCACATTCTTTACAATTTAGTGTGCTGTCCAAAAAGTAACACTTACCTGTGTTGGAGTTTTCTATCTAAAAAGTAAGGGAAAACAGGGGGAGAGGATAGAGAGAGTTGGGTCATGAGGAAGCAAGTATTCAAAAGTAAGGCAGTTGATGGTTTTTATTAAACACAGACCCACAAGAACCAAGAGGGAGAAAAAACATGTAAGAATGAGGGAGGAGAAACATTAAGAATGAAAAGGCAGCACATGGAGGACTTTACAAGGAAAAACAGGTGGTGTGGGCTAGAATGTTGAAGAGAAGGATTTTAAATCAAAACAGAAGAGCTCAGGATGAAATCTGCTCAAAACAGGGCAGACCAAAGTTGACTTTAGCAAATGTTTAAATTAATAGGAAGCTGAGGCTAGAATAGGGTATCAACAGAAAAAGCACATAACCAGTAAAATCATCTTTGGTTGTTTTTTTCTGTTGCCTCTCAGAGCATAAATGGCACTCAACAGTTCTGAATATAAACATTGTAGAAATATGTTTTAGAAATGGTGTTCTATATAAACAAGGAGCTAATAGAAGTGGTCAGCTAGGGGACTGGATGAAACAATTTTCAGTGTTTTATTTCATCCTGATTTTTAAATATGTAGATATCTTACCTGTTAAAAGTAAAATTAAGTTTAAAAAGTGGTATCTCCTAACTGAATCTGAAGGATGATTTCCTTTGTATGATAAGTAGATCCCAAGTCAAGGCTATTTGTCATCATCACAATTGTTTTCTTCCTAACCCAAAGAGCACATTGGTAACAGTCAGATCTGAGATCCTAACTACCCAAGTACAAGAAAACTCAAGACCCACATCTCCTAATTCCACATGTATTTAAAATAATTTTGTGAAGTCATTTGGGCTTTCCTACATAAAAATCTTTCTCCAATTGGATTTTAGCAATGGTTTTGTCAGGCTTTCAGGATGGTATTTTCCTGGATATTGAAGATGATTATAATCTATATTTTGAAGATAAAAACCTTCATGAAACTTAAGAGTTCTCTTCTGCCTATTATGTGTTATATTCATTGAAATATATTTTTTCTGCTGTTATTTTATGAATAATATTCCAAAAATATGAATGAGCATAATAATGAAACTCCTTTATACTTATTATTTTGCTCTTTGCTCTCTCTGCTAATTCTTATTGAAATGTTTATTTACATAATTTTGTCTGCCTATAATTCATATTTATTGCATTTTTCGCTTATTATGCAGTTTTTACTGACATCCTTCTCTTCTATCTATATGTACTGGTGAGGATTTGTTTAAAATTACCTTTTATTGTGAAGTTTTTAGTTAACAGTCACTAAAATATAAAGTAGGTAATAGTCACTTTCATAATATTACATATATGCTACAGAACTTTGTTAGTAAACTTATGTTTTGATGTTTGTTACATGCTCTGGTTTTCACTGATGTGAACATATTTCTTTTCAGTTCTGCAATATGTGCTTTTCATGATTTTTCTCTGTATTTCCAAAATATATTTTTCTTCATGTAAATCATATGTGATATATCAACCTTATTCACATACACATCATTACTGTTGTTATTGTTATACTCACTTTACAGATGAGTAACCTGAAGCTCAGCTTTTTTCTTTCAAAAAGCACCTCTTAAGAAACTCACTCTCAGGTAGTCATCTTGAGGTAGGATCAGCAACCAGGCTGGATTGAGTTTTATGAACTCTAGTTAATGGCATAGGAACTGCACAACCAAAACAATGGTGGTAGTAGCTATATTGCTTTCTGGTGAACTTCCCAAATGCCTATCGTGAAAGCTCTATTCCACACATTTTCTGGCAGTGTGAAGCACAGAGCAGAGACCAGGCAAGGAAGTGGGGATACCTAAGTTCTGTTACCCAGTAATGAGAGTGACATAATGGGAGAACTTGAACACCTCTACCTGACTTCTCTCAGCCACAATGTCCTCACTTGTAAAATCGAATATTAGAACAGGAGTGTTTAAAGGATTACCCAGCCCTCAAGTTACTTTACTTTGAGAAATAATACATGCACCAATATTGTACAGCCTCCAGGGAGCAATAGAACGGGAGAAGGTTATTTGTAACCTAAAGAACAATGTATAAATCAGAACTCATGGGGCTTCTACTTGTCTGTGCACAAGTTGGGAGCACAATCTGTTAGTACAGATGAGTATCAAATTGTTCCTGACTTAACAATCACTGTAAATTGATTTTTGGTCTCTCCGTATTAGTATTTAGAGGCTTTTTAAGGGCAATAACCTTACGTTAATACTGTTCCTCAAAGTGGGAATTTATCTATCAGTCTCACTGATTTTTCATCATTCTCTTGTTCCATACAGAAAATTTCCAAAATCTACCTTTACTTGGAACAACAAATTCTCTGCAGCTCCCTCTTCCCATGGTGAGCAATGCAGCTTCCCTAACAGGAAGTGTGTGCAACTTCTCAAGAGTGTCTACTCCAGCCGTCAGCTCGGCGTGGCTCCTACCATCAGCCTCATGCGCCTCTTTCCAACCACTCATGGGTAGTGCCTATCTTTACCAACATTCTAGCACAACTATGTTGTCTGGAGTTTCTGGTCAGAGCCAGATCTCCACCTCAACTGCTTCATATCCAAGTGTGTTTGAGTGGGATATCACAGGAAGCACTGAAAAGTGTTCATCTTCACTGGGGGACTTCACTGTGACTGTCATTGATCAGGACACTTCTGTTTCCTCCATGTCAATGGCAGCCCAGTATGATAAAACTTCAGATACCAGTAACATAGTCCCTCTGTATCCATCACTTTCTGCAAGCCTTGTTCAGGGAACACCATCACAGATTCCAAATCAGGGACATGGCCTGTCCCTCCCTTATCAGGAGGGAAGCCAGGTATATTACTATAATCAAGGCACTCTGGGGCCTCTACTACCTGGAGAACTTGGCCCCTGCCTACAATCCTATGGCTCAGTGTCATACACAGGAAGTAGAGGTTCAGTCCCTCAACCGGAAATGGTGATGGTCCTAAAGGAGGTTCAGCCCACAAATATTCTGCCACCAGCCTCCACTTCTGGAATCTACTACTCTGTGTCTGCTCAACCCATCACAGAAACAAGTTTTCAAGGTGAGTTCAAATAGCAAAATAGGGCTAAATCTGCACCTGAGAAGTGATGAGTCCACAAATAAGTAGAATTAAAGTCTTGAGACTTTAATAACCACTATCTCACTCAGTGTTCTCTATCTGAAAATGGAGAAACAGGTGGGAAGGCAGGATACTATTATGCCATCTAGGCTACATCTGAGAATGCAAAACACTTGTCAAGGGAGACCACACTTTTCACCAAATGGTTGATCAATCCCTCTGTACCTCCACACTGTAATGAACTCCATTCCTTGACCTGTTGCTTCACAACTCTTATTGTGATAAGGCCACTTTAACATCCTTCACTTCCTTAATTTACATCAGAATTTAAGATCTTTGTTCATAGATCCTGTCCAAAACAGAGGGGCTCAGAATCTGTCCTTGTTCTGTCTTCTTATAGCATGAGGAAGAGCTCTACTCCCTCTCCTGTGTGTTCTTATTTTCTCAAGAAAGTAGAGAGAACTGAGAGGAAACTTTATGAATACTAGGCTTTAGAAAACAATTCACATCTTGAAAATAATTCTTACTTTTTATTTTTTGACTTACAACAACTCTATAAATACAAAAAATAATTAGAAGAAAAAGTAGCATCAAGGTCATCAGTAAGAAAGAAATAGAATAGTTGCTGTCTTGCTTCTTCTAGCACTGAGCCTTGTCCATGATCCTTAAGAAAAGCTTACCCCTTTCTGGAAGGTATATACTTGTTGCACTGGTATCTGAGGGGTGCATCTCACTTACCAGGGACTGACTTCTTCTTTGGCTCTTTTGTAGTGATGGAGACTTCCATGGGGATGGAGACTTCACTGGGATTGCAATCTTCAAGTCAGACATTTTGTCTGTCACAAGCCTCAGAATTCCCCAAGTCCTGCAGTAGCAGGATCCAGATCCTTGAGAGTAATCCACCATCTAATCTGGGGGACATTTCAGTGACAGCTCCAGTTCAGAGTTCTGGTAATCTCTTGGCACTGCCTCCAGCTCCAAGCCAGGAACAAACAGAGAGTAAGAATTTGGATGAGATTAAAACCAAGCTTTCAAAGCCTCTGGATGACTATCAGATCACAATAGAAAACCAAGATCCTCCACTGCTACCTTTAGAAATCCCTGATATTCACCAGCTCTTGGCCTGCATTGATCCCCTCGGCCCAGAGAAGCAGCCTACTTCTGAAAACACTGATCTGGGAGAGAATAGCCTGAGTCTTGAGGACCAAGAGACACTTGAAAGTGAGATGGAATCTAACAATAGTTTTGCGGACATTGCTACACTGGTGGAAGATATTCACCTTCCTCAGCTCTTCACTGTCTTGCAAGATCTTGATCAACCCAAAGATTCCAGTGTGATTGAAGTCAAAGATATTGGAGTCATAGATTTGAACCAGCTGCAAGAAAAGTCAAGTGTCATAAAAGGGTCCTCTGATAATGCCAAGAGGAACAAACACAAGGCCTCAGAGCCTATCAGTGGTGCTCCCAAGGCCAAGATGCAGGCAAAGAAACGAGAGTGCCTGTTAGGGGGAGAAGTGGTTGTTTGCAGTGCTGCAGTGAATAATAGCAGGGCTTCTGTTAACACGGCCAAGCACTCTAACAGCAAACCTCAGAAAGCTGCATCCAGCAGGATCAGCAAAGCTAAGAGCCATGGGCAGGAAAAGACCAAAAGGACCAAAGAAAATAACTCCAAGAAAGCTGAAGAAAATAAGCAGGCAGGGAACAAGATCAAGGCGGAAGAAGAGAAGCCAAACATTCCCAAGATGAAGCGTAAGAAAAATCAACCTGAGCTCAGCCAAGAGGCCTTTAAAAAGCCTCGAAGCTGCTTAGGCATGCACATGCTGGAATCTGTACAGGTCTTTCATGCACTAGGGAAGAAGAGTGATAAGAAAACTGGACTCTCTTCCTCTAGGGCCCTGGGAAACTCAAGAAACTCCAAAGGCCCCCAGCCATCCCCAGTGATCAAACCATGGCTAGATACCCCACGAGAAGGAAAAGGTCCTGAGAAAACTCATGGCAAAGCCTCAAAACCAGACAGCAGTGCTGAAAAAGAGCAGCTATCTCCATCCCAGTATGAGTTACCACCTCCTGGGAAGGTCAAATTGGTACCATTACCTTTTCCAACTGTGGACAAGCCTCAAGCTCGACCTGTATCTCGGAGGCCACAGTCTCTGGCCTCACATCGGCCTGCTGTGGCTTACCCCGCAAGACCTGGTTCCACTAACTCAGTTCAATCTACTGCAGTCAATGCACCCCGCCCAACGCCTGCTTCCGTGACTGGTCCTGCCAGACCAGCTCGGCCAACTTCGAATAACCCAATCCGACCAGGTTTGAACAACCCCACCCGTCCGAGTGTCCCTCAGTCTGCTGCTCCTAGGCCTGCACCCTACAAAACATTATCTTGCACTTCTCTCCAGCGGGAGCCTGCTCCCACTGCTGTCACCAAACTCCAGTCTCCGCCTAAGTCTCAAACTCAATTTCTACTCCAAGACTTCTGCTTCCAACCAATTCCATGGAGAAAACCCAATGTTCCTGAGCCGGTAATGTCGAAGCCCATCACAAAAGAGCAGCGACCAGAGCGGGAGGCCATGAAGAGGCAGGCTCAGCAGGAACGTGAGAATGCTGCCAAATACACCTCTTTGGGGAAACTGCAGTTTTTCATTGAGAGGGAAAAAGATATGGACATTTCTCGATACTATGGCTATGCAATGTAAGAGTTGCTAGGATTGCCTGTGCAACTTAAGGTACCAGTTTGATTTTCCATATATAGATAGATTTACATTTATTTATTTGAATATATTTTTTAAAACTTAACAAAATTGAATAAATACATGCAATTGAATTAATAGGTGAATAATAAAGACACCTTTTGATTTTTGAGATGCTGTTAACTGTGATTTTTCTTTAGTGGGTATGGGGACCACAGGACACACATGAAAGAAAAAACAAAGTTGGATGGCAGAAAGAGGGAAAAGAGGTGAGAGCAGACGAAAGGGTAAGAGCGTGGTCGGGGGCTGGGAGGTTTCATAGGATCAGAGCATAAGAGGCTAAAGTGGGGGAAATGGCAGGGCCTGAGATAAGGATCCAAAGAACAAAAGTTTGAACAGCGTCTTAGATGGCAGATGAAGCTACATTTTACAAGAGACATGTGAAAAACCTCTCACGGAGGTTAGTCTTTTGTCTCATGACTGTCTGATAGGTATATTTAAAAGTAAGAGATACAGAACACATCTCCCAAAGGGTTGGCTTACTCTATCCATGAAGACACATAGCTGGGGAAAGTGAATAGAGACCACAGAGAAATCTACCAGATGTTGGCGAGGGTCAGTTTTCCAGGGACAGAGTGTCACCAGGTCCCGGCCAAATGGACTGCTTGCCGCACGCAGCACAATGTCCGGCCCGACGGGGCCTGGGTTATAAATCCCAGTATCACGCGAGGCATGTTACTTAATGAAACTTCTTAACACACAAGACGAGGGTCAGTGTGCCACTTTACTAGTAAGTTCAGCAGTGGGCTGTTGTCACACTGCTTTCGGAGGGGGCGAAGCCTCAATGTGAGAGGCCTATGCGCCTCCAAAATCCTCAGATTTTGCAAGCTCTTATAAGCGGCCAACCTTGCTTTCAGAGCACAGGATCCGGAGTTTACTGGTGAAGGAGCTCAAACCTCTGCAGGAGCCTATTATTAATTTGAGGTGCCCTCCAGAGCCTCTTCCATAAACCCAGGCGCGCGCAAGGGGCTTGAAAAGTCGCCATCAACGGCTGCGCAGTAGAAATATCCGCTCAACTTATCTTTGGGGGGAGGGGTGGCGTAGGCAGAGCTCGGGCACCACGCGGGGTCCCCTCTCCCGTTGAGAGATCCTCCCTGGAAGGCGCGTGAGGTGGCTGGAGAAACTGGGGTTGGGGCTGGGTTGAAGGGGCCGTTGGGCAACTACCTGGAGAGAACAGGGGGAGGGGCACGACCGAAAATGAAGTGGGGGGAGGGGAGCGATGGAGTGGCAGATGAGAAAAATTACTAATGTATATTTTAAAAATTATTTTTCAATTGCGGTATAATTAACATGCCGTAACATTCACCTTTGAAAATAAGTTCAGTGTCATTTAGTGCATGCACAAACCATTCTCGCCATCTGTTCTGTTGGCCTGTCCTTTCTGACCTGCTTTCTTCGTGAGGTGATGTTATTCTGCTACCGATGCCCCCTTTTCTTATGGTACTTTTTTTTTTTAAAAGATTTATTTATTCGTACAGAACTGGGGTACAGGCCAGAGATGCGGAGGGTGAGAGGATTCACCAGAGACAGAGCGGGGAGCAGAACAGGCAGATCAACGAGGTACATTGCTGAGGGGAGCAGCGGATGGGTCAGGAGAGGTCTGCCACGCCATGTGGTCGCCTCCGGGGCAGGCGGGGATCGAACTCATGCGGAAGTGGCTTTAGTTTCTTAGTGCAGTGCTTTAACCCGCTGTGCCACCAGGGAGGGCCCCTCTTATGGTACTTTTGACGTGATTTGAAAGTCTCGCAGTTCTTTTCTGTTGTTCATTAAGTGAAATCAGGTTTTTGTACTTTGAAATGGACGCGTGGCTGAGGCGGACTTTCCTACCCTGACAGCTTCTGTGTTTCGTTTATTATCGTAGTGTTCAATAACAGAGTGCCTTGCTTGCTTTCCTGGGCTTTCCTCAGCACAGGCCCCTTTGTGTCTCTTGTTTCTCCCAGAAATTTCTCCTCTGTGGGGACCACATCCTGAAAGGAGCGTGGCTGCTCAGTCTCAAGATGTGGAGGGGCTAGATTGCCCTGTACTTCCTCACTCTAGCCTGGGCCCCTGTATTCAGGGCCCCTATATCCTCACCCTGCAGTTAGGCAAACTCCTGCCTGCTGTGATGATTGGCCTGCAGAGCTTTCTAGTAAAGCCCTGCTGGCATTTTGATGTTCTCCTGCCCTCGTGTCTTATCAGATGCTTCCTCCTGTCTGCCACATTCTTTGGTACAGATGCTGGGACTGTGAGAGCCTATTGGTGGTACCTGCCACCTGCCCACCCTCTTGTTGTGGGGGTTCATAGGGAAAACTGTGTCCTCTTTTGTTTTGTTTTTTAGTTTTATTTATTTATGCATACAGGAACTGGGATACAGGCCAAAGGTGTGGGGAAGTGAGCGGATTCACCAGAGACAGAGTGGGGAGCAGAACAGACAGTTTGAAGGACACTGATGAGGGGAGTAGGGGCCTGGTCAGGAGAGGTCTACTGCACCATGGTCACCTCCCTGGCCAGGGATCAAACTTGTGCTACAGTGGCTGCTGCTAGCTTCATGGTGCTGAGCTTTAACTTGTTGGCCACAAGGAAGGGCCCTGTATTCTGTTTTGTGTGTGTGTGTGTGTGTTTTATTTTTGTGGTAAATGTTATACATGGCATTTGGTTTGGGTTTATCTATTTCTATGAGAGGATTTGGGGACATCCAGAAACTGCTGCTTTTCTTTCTGATAATCTGCTCTATTCTTTGACATAATTATTTTAAAATAGGGGGCCCTATAATTTTTCAATCCTTAGAAGGAGAGCCCCATATTTGCTCCACCCTGGTTAAGACTCTTGAGTTGGATGAGGCTTTCTGAATCTCCTATAACATGGTACCTCGTGTATATTTGCTCAGTCATTTTTGAAAGTCAAAACACCACAACCTAAAAGACTCATGGGTGGAGGAACATGTAGCTGACATGAGAGCTGGAATCAAACTGTGGACAAATGGAAAGCAGAAGCAGTTCTGGCTAGGAAAGTGGCCTTTTCCCTTCTTTTTCTTCTCTTCATATGTACAAAATGACTCTATAGTCTGCCCTCCTCCGTCCCCTCATAAAAACTTGATTGAAGCTTTTTTTCATCTCAGTGTAAGGTAATGCCATTTTCCTAGTTGCTTAGGCTGGAAACCTACGAAGGCTTCTTTCTTTCTTTCCCAGCTATACAAATTCAGCAAGTGAATTCAGCAAATTCATCTATCTTGCCTTCAAATTCTATCTAGAACTTAGTCATTTCTAACCACTTATTTCCATTTCCACTCTGGTCCAAGCCCCCATCCTGCCTGGATGATTGCAATAGCCTCCTAACTCAGAGGTTCCCAAACTATTTCTATTTCACAGACTCCTTGGTGTCTTGCTCCTAGAAATACATAACAGTCCCATTAACTATGTAGTTAGGCACCCAATGATAACTTAATATTTATGCCAGGAGTAGGCTAAACAATGTTTACCCAAAGAGTTCCTAATCCCTGGCCCTTGTAAATGTTACCTTTTTTTTTTTTTTT